GTGGTGTCACAATTAGGGTTTCATTAAGAAGACCCATAATTGTCATGACTTTTCATTTCTCATGACCCATGGGTTTGTAACTCCGATGGACTATCCATGGAGCTCCAAATGGTTACATCCATAACCCATAAACCATGGATCATTACTCCACCATAAAAGAATTGATGATTGTCATAATCAACCCTATATATTTAATTAGTCTCATTTTGATCACCAAATTAATACTAGATTAATACTTGATCAATACTAATTAAATAACACTATTATTAATATATTAGAACTTATAATATATTAATAATCATAAGTTCCATATTCTCTCATTTAGTCTATCCAAGTATTGCAATGCCATGCAACCCAAATGGACCATGCCGGGTCGGGTCGGGTCAAGTACATACCAAATATACTAATGGACTTAGACACTATATCCAACACAATCATGCTAATATTCATTGTTACGAAAAAGCTATCCGTCTCAATCTCTCCTCTGGCAAAACCCTCATGATCTATGGTGATAAACTTAGCTCCAACTTTCGTATTATTTCATGCATTAAAGCTCAAAAACTTCTGCGAAAGGAGTGTTATGCATTCCTAGCTCATGTAATCAATGAGAAATAGGAAGTTAAAGACCTTGACAGCATCCCTGAAGTTTGCGACTTTCCTAATGTCTTTCCCGAAGAGCTCCCGGGAATTCCTCCCGAACACCAAGTCGAGTTTCACATCGACCTAATCCTGAAGCTACCGCTGTAGTGAAGTCCCCATATCGCTTAGTGCCAGCAGAAATGCAGGAGTTATCCAGTCAACTTAATGAGCTACTCAGCAAAGGGTTCATTAGACCGAGTTCCTCACCCTGGGGAGCCCCGATGTTATTTGTGAAGAAGAAAGATGGATCCTTTGAGATGTGTATAGACTACCGTGAACTGAACAAGCTGACCGTCAAAAAAACCGTTATCCTCTTCCTCGAATAGATGACCTTTTCGATCAACATCAGGGAGCCAGTTACTTCTCAAAAATAGACCTTAGATTAAGGTACCATCAACTGCGAGTTCATGAGAGTGATGTTTCCAAGACAGCATTCAGGACTCGATACGGTCACTACGAGTTTGTAGTGATGCCCTTTGGTCTAACCAACGCATCGACATTGTTCATGGACCTGATGAACCGGTTGTGTCGTCCTTTTCTGGACAAGTTCGTTATTGTGTTGATTGACAATATACTTGTCTATTCCAAAAGCGAGGAATATCACAAACAACACTTGAGATTTGTACTGGAAACACTTAGATCGGAGAAGTTGTACGCAAAATTCTCCAAGTGTAAATTATGGATTCGGAAGGCAACTTTCCTAGGTTACGTGGTAAGCGAGGAGGGAATACACATGGACCCTTCCAAAATCAAGGCGATAGAGAATTGGTCGGCCCCAAAGATGCCCATAGAAATCCGTCAATTCTTGGGTCTCGCCGGCAATTATCGTAGATTCATCCAGAATTTTTCTAGAATTGCCAAACCCCTAACTACTCTGACTCAAAAAGGTGTTCCCTTTTGTTGGAGTGAAAAACAAGACGTTTCATTCAAAATATTGAAGCGAGCCTCTTGTAGTGCACCTATCCTATCCCTGCTAGAAGGGACGGAGGACTTCGTTGTCTACTGCTATGCATCCAATCAGCGCTTAGGTTGTGTATTATGCGGTGAGGAAACGTTATTGCTTATGCCTCAAGACAACTGAAAACACATGAAGTAAAATATACAACTCATGAACTGGAGTTAGGAGCAGTGGTCTTCGCACTGAAGATTTGGAGACATTATCTCTACGGAACCAAGTGCACGACCTTCACTGACCATAAAAGCCTACAACACATCTTTGATCAGAAGGACTTAAACATGAGACAACAGCGATCGGTGGAGCTATTCAATGACTATGAGTGCGAAATCCGCTACCATCCTGGCAAGGCCAATGTGGTGTAGATGCCCTTAGCTGAAAGGAAAGCTCAGGCCACAATGTAAGGACACTGACAATAACCATCCATTCCCACTTATCCGCACAAATCCGAGAGGCTCAGTTGGAATCCCTAAAACTAGAGAACGTGTTGAATGAAGCTTTAAGGGGAATGGATAAAAATCTTGAGATCACAGGTGACGGAGTTTACTGTTTCATGGACCGAATCTGGACCCCACAGTTCGGCGGTTATAGGGAGGTTGTCATGAACAAAGCTCATAAGAATAGATACTCTGTGCACCCAGGTTCGGATAAGATGTACCTGGATCTCAAGAAACTATACTGGTGGCCAAACATGAAAGCCGAAATCGCTACCTTCGTGGTCAAGTGTCTGACTTGCGCGAAGGTGAAGGTCGAATATCAGAAACCCTCAGGCCTGCTCCAGTAGCCCGAGATACCTGAGTGGAAGTGGGAGATCATTTCTATGGATTTAATTACCAAATTACCCAAATCTCCGAGTGACAACGATACCATTTGGGTAATGGTCGATCGATTGACAAAATCCGCTCACTTCCTAACGATTAAAGAAACATTCAAGATGGAAAAACTCACACGAATCTACATTCAAGAGATAGTCCGATTGCACGGTATGCCTGTATCCATTATCTCCGATCGAGATAGCAGGTTTACCTCAAGATTTTGGTTGTCCCTTCAGAAAGCTCTTGGAACTAAGATGGATATGAGTACAGCTTATCATCCTCCTACAGATGGGCAGAGTGAGAGAACTATCCAGACCCTGGAAGACATGTTGAGAGCATGTTTCTTCGATTTCGGAAAGTCATGGGACACTAATTTACCCTTGGTTGAATTCTCATATAACAACAGCTACCACACCAGTATCAAGGCTGCCCCGTTCGAAGCCCTCTACGGTCGCAAGTGCAGATCCCCTCTGTGCTGGGCCGAGGTAGGGGACACACAACTAGCCAAGGGTCGAGTCCCTAACAGTACTCTCACTGGTCCTGAAATCATCCGCAAAACCAACAAAAAGATCATTCGAATATAAGTATGACAGAAAGCTTCACGAGACAGACAAAAGAGTTGCGCCGATAAACAACAAAAACCCTTGGAATTCCAGGTTGAAGATCATGTCCTGTTGAAGGTCTCTCCCTGGAAATGCATGATACGCTTTGGAAAGCGCGGAAAATTGAACCCAAGGTACATAGGACCTTTCGAGATCCTTGCTAGGATCGGTCCCATAACCTACAAACTCCGATTACCTCAAGAACTTAGCAGCATCCACCCTGTCTTCCACGTCTCTAATCTTAAGAAATGTCTATCCAATGAAACTCTTGGGATCCCTCTTGATGAGATCGAAATCAACGAGAATCTACACTTCATGAAAGAATCAATCGAAATCATGGATCCTGAGATCAAACGAACGAAACAAATCTGCATCCCGATAGTGAAGGTTCGCTGGAATGCCAAGCGGGGACCCGAATTCACTTGGGAGTGCGAAGATTCAATGAAACAGAAATATCCGCATATCTTTCCAAATCCATCATTTGTATATTAATTCTAAATTTCGGGACGAAATTTCCTCTAACGGGGGGATGATGTGACAACCCGAAATTTATACCTTCAATGTAATCCACTTCCGTTAATAAAAAGTTGTTTTTATTAAAGTTTTCCGTTAATTTTTGAGTTAAGTAAATCCATTTGGGTTATTGTTGTATATTTCATATGCGTCTGAAAGCAATAAAATCACGTGAAATACCCTCGATTTCTTTCGGAAAAATTTCTAGCTCACAACTAAGTCGGGTTACGGCCATTTAATCGGGTACAATCGTAAACTCCGTTTCATGTTGGGATTGGGTGGATCCCCACCTGGCCATGAACTCAACGCTATATAAGGTTTGATTGGTCTCCATTTGAACCTTTTTCACACCCTTAGAACTTTCTCTCTCTACTCTCTCTCTACAACTTGGGATTCGATCTAGAAACGCCCCCTTCAAGCTTCACAACGGTAAGTTAACCTTCCTAGCTTGTTGTTTAGCCTAAAATACTTGCAAATTCGTGGTTTAATCATCCAAAAACCCCAAGAACATGTGTTTACGGTTTGGGAGCATCCCAAAACCGTAAACACCCAAAAAGGGGGGGTTTTGATGCCCCAAAACCCTTCCAATGCTTGGCTTATGACCTAGAAAGTTGCATGAATGATCTAAGAACCCCAAAACATGAAATAATAAGAGTAAACATGAGTTTACGGTTTGGTAATGTCCCAAACCGTAAACACCTTTTTAGGATGTTAAAGTGCCCTTAAACACCTTCTATAGCTTGAATAAGTGACTAGAACCTTGTATGCTTACCCTAGAAACACCAAAACATGCAAGAAAGTGACAAACATGAGTTTACGGCTGTAAACTCATGTGTTTATGACCATAAGCTCACCAATGGAGCCTTCAAAAACCGTAAACTCCTTTTAAGGTCAATTTCAAGCCCCAATCACTTCCATAACCTTTGATTCAACCCTAGGACCCTTCCTTGAGTGAGATAAGACCTTTGAGCACCCAATAACACCACTCCCATGAGTTTATGGTCGTAAACTCATGGGGATATGGTCTTGAAACCATAAACACCCCTAAAGGATTCCACTTGAAGAGTAAACTCCTTAACGAGGCCATACACTCCTTAAATGCAACCCATATCATTCCTAACACTTGAATAAAGTGTTTCCATGCATTAGAGTGTATTTACTTGCTAAATTAGTGGTTTAATGACTAATTAGATAAAATTATGTATCACCTCATGTTACATAGGATCCTCGCGTGTGTTCAAGTCCTAAATTGACACCTAGCATCCTACCCGACACATTCACGTCAGGTGAGTTCATACCCCTACACTTTTCCAAATTTTTCATGTTTTCAAGGGGGAATACAAGCAAATCATTATGAATTTCGTAATTAAAAAATTGATGTAATTATAACGATTTTCAATCAAACTTTTTAGATACCTTTATCCCTTTTGCAGTGTTGTAAAAATCGGCCTAGGCGACCGATTAATCAGTGCCTAGATGTTAGGCGGACTGCAACTGATCACGTTTATGTGTAATCGCTCAAGATAATCGGGGTTGGTCAACGTTGGTCAGACTCGGAGCTAATCGGGTCTAATCGGTGCTAATCGGCTCTAGGCGGTTTAATTGGTCAACTTTGGTCAACAGATTTTCAAAAAAAAAAAATAGGGGCAAAATTGTCAAAACTAAAAACATTTGCTAGAGTTCGTTCTCACTTCTCATTCCATCGTCCTCTGTGAAACCGTTTCTCACTTTTTCTCTCGACTCAAAGTTGGGAGAACTTGAAGCTCACCCTCGTCGTCGCCATCACCTCTTGAAAAGCCAAAATCCATGAAATCCAATCACACCCTCCCGTTTCTCCTCCTCCGTCTTCTTCGCTGTTAGAGCCTCCATTCTTTCCGACAACGGTCTTTATCATCTACACAGGTTAGTTCTTCAAACTCGATTTAACCTGTAAAGTTTCGATTTTATCTAGTAAACTCGATTTAAGTTGTTAATCAACAAATTTGTGAAGACTGCTCGATTTAAGCTCGATTTAACTCGATTTAAGCTCTAAAGTTTCGGTCTTTATCATCTACACAGGGTTTGTTTCTAGTTCGATCGCTCAACAACCCTTTGTGAAATCGATTTTCCATAACCTTGTTGGAAGGCAGCCATAAATTGAAAGAGTTACTCAAATTCTAGAAAGATGTACAAAAAACTATTCCTGCCTCATTGGAGAACCCGATGTTGGAAAGACTGCTATTGCAGAAGGTCTTGCCCAAAGAATTGCAAATGGGGATGTTCCAGAAACAATTGAGGGGAAGAAGGTGGGTTCCAAACTTCCTGTTTGTATATGTTCTAGTGACATGAGTTCAAAATTTCAATTAAAAGGTCTACTTGTTGTTGGGATAAAGTATCGTGGAGAGTTTGAGGAAAGATTGAAGAAGCTCATGGAAGAAATCAAATAAAGTGATGAAATTATACTATTTATTGATGAGGTCCATACTTTAATTGGAGCAGGAGCTATAGAGGGGGCTATTGATGCTGCTAACATCTTGAATATGCAAGCTTCAATTGGCCCATAGCACTTGTTAAAGTTTAAGTTTTAAAGTTCAATGTCTTAAGAGGCAGATTATGAATGTGCAATGTGTTTTGGAAGTGAAATTGGTTTCATTTTACCTGTTATACCCTTTATATTCAAGAGTGAGGATTCCACTTAATGTATGGACAGCAATAAGAATGATGATTTCATTTGCATTGAATTTGATAAACTCTCAAATTGCCCCTGTTGACAGTTTATAAAATTTTGAATTATTTTTTTAATAATTAATGGACCCCGATTAATCCCCCAATTACTCCCCGTCTAACCGATTAATCCCTAGACCCCAGTCAATCGCCTAGCTAACGTCTAGCGTTTTCTACAACCTTGCCCTTTTGTAATATGCAAAGCATAAGGGACGCTTTCTAAATATAATTACATAGTTTCCTAAACAACATGGGAACTTATCAAACCATTCAAATTATTATGGGAATAATTTGGGATCTTCGTTACTTGCTTTCATATTCTAATTTCATTTAGTTTATCCATTATTAACCTAGAGTATCATACTAAATAATTACCTTGTGTTTAATTATTTATACTCTACTATGTTCCAAACGACTTCGAAACTTGATAACAGCTAAATATTCTGTGAACTAGTTAATACTAGCTTGTGAGACTTATTTTCGTTATGCCCTACGGGGTACCAATAAATCCTCTCCGGTAGTATAAACAGAGTCTCCTGGAGGGAGAGCGTGAAATTTGTAGATAGATCTATTCGGGACTGACAATCCCATACCTAAACTGCTAGCTACAGTTAGGCGGGCATGCCTGTGGTCATAAATTTTGGAAATCGTACAACTCCTGAAGAACATCAAGGAGGTCATGGGTCAAATTAGTATGGTTATATGACTCACAATACGTATAAACTAACTTTGTTTATGGATTACTTTCTTTCTTCTATAGTTTTATTTATGTAATAAAACTACCTACTTACTTACTGGAGGGTATTTCAAGGACATAACTTATGGTTTTATCTTGAATAGTAAAACTACCATTTTTACTGGTGTTAACCAAGGTTTTCTTACCATATGGAAATCATTCATATGTATTTCATAACTCAATAATAATGATTTTCGATATTTACTAAAATCTTTATCAATGGAACTGAAGTATTTTCACAAGATTTAGTAACCGGTTTTTCCTTACAAAACATGCTTATGAACTCACCAGCTTTATACTAACATTTTTAAAACTGCTTGTATTCTCAGGTTCACGTTAAACAGGTATCTCGCTTACTTTTGGAGAAGACGGAGTATATAGAAGTCTCGTCTTTACTTTTGTTTATACTGATATATATAAACTATGTATTTCTCCACTTTCAAACAAATGTAAATATTCTTATGTCATGTAATGGTTGTTTTTACTTTTCTTACTATGTAAAATGGTTGTGATACTACGCCTGGCGTCCTCTGCCCTGGAACGTTTTCGTCGTCAGCTTCGGGGTGTGACAAATTGGTATCAGAGCTTTTGTTTATAGTGAACTAAGTATACCGAACCTTACATGGTATACAACTATAAACACTAAGGGGCCGAAGTGCTCTGAACTAAAAGTATACTTTAAAATACAAGTATTTCACAAAGAGTATACAAAAATACCTAAATATCAGAAACAGTAATCACGAGTAGAACAAAACAAAAGTAATTGGGTGTTGGACACTGCGGTTAAACCTGGGCAATTATGTAGTCGTGTCTAGGGTCAATATAGCATGATCAACTATATTCATTCGAGACACAACCAACATGTGCTTGGGAGTGACTGGGTGTACAACAAGCCTAAAACTTACCAATTATCCAAACAACAAGTCATCGTTGCATCAAAAAATAAAATACTATAGGAGTATTTTAGTCAGAGCCGAATACATTGTAGAAATTCTTTCCAAGTGTTGTTATTCATTCTTTCCATAGCGATATTTTACTTGCTTTAGTAACTTTTTCATGTCATATCACTTAGTAGAACACTCTATCTACCATAATGAGATATCTCTGAGAACTGGTCAGTACCGAAGATGCCTACAGAAATTTATCAATTTCTAGGCCTCGCTGGCTACTAACACAGTTTCATTCAGAACTTCTCCCGCATTGCAAAGCCTCTTACAACACTGACCCAGAAGGCGTGACCTTTGACTGGGAAGAGAAGTAGGAGAGAGCATTCCAAACTCTCAAATGAGCCTTGTGCGCCGCACCAATACTATCCCTCCCCGAAGGGATAGAAGACTTCATTTTCTATTGTGATGCGTCAAATCAAGGGCTCGGATGTGATTTGATGCAGCGAGGTAAGGTCATTGCCTATGCCTCGAGATAGCTAAAGACACATGAGGTCAACTACATGACCCACGATCTTGAACTGGTAGCAGTTGTGTTTGCTCTGAAGATTTGAAGACACTACCTGTACTGTACAAAAAGCACTATCTTTACAAACCACAAAATACTACAACACATATTCGACCAGAAGGAGCTCAACATGAGACAATGACGGTGGGTCGAGCTACTTAGTGATTACGAATGTGAAATTCGTTATCATCTGAGTAGCGCCAATATAGTAGCTGGCGCCCTCAGTCAAAAATAATATTCTGGTCGTAGATTCAAATCATTGAATATGACTATCTATTCACACTTTTCAACACAAATTAAGGCGGCTGAGGTCGATGCTTTGAAACCTGAAAATGTGGCGGGTGAATCCCTGAGAGGGATGGATAAGAACTTGGAGGTTAAGGGTGGCGGAGCTTATTATTTCATGGATCGGATCTGGACCCTGAAACTCGGTGGTTTTAGAGACTTGGTCATGAACGACGCGCACAACACTCGTTATTTTGTCCACCCAGGTTCAGATAAGATGTATCTGGATCCTAAAAAGTTATACTGGTGGCCAAACATGAAAGCAGAAATTGCTACCTTCGTGAGTAAATGCCTTAATTGCGCCAAGGTCAAGGTCGAATACCATAAACCCTCTGGTCTACTACAACAGTCTGAGATACCGGAATAGAGGTGGGAGCGGATCACTATGGATTTCATAACCAATTTACCCAATACAACGGGTGGACTTGATACCATATGGGTCATCATCGATAGATTGACCAAATCTGCACACTTCTTGCCGATCAAAGAAACATATAAGATTGAGAAGCTTACATTAGGGAGATTGTACGACTGCACGGTGTTCCCTTATCCATGATCTCGGATAAAGATAGTAGTTTCACTTCGAGGTTCTGGCAGTCGCTACAAAGTTCCCTAGCAACTAGGCTGGACATGAGTACATCCTACCATCCACAGACTGACGAGCAAAGTGAAAGGACTATCCAAACCTTGGAAGATATGTTGCGAGCCTTTGTGATCGACTTTAGGAAAGCATGGGATACTCATTTACCCCTTGTAGAATTTTCCTACAACAACAGTTACCACACGAGCATAAAGGTTGCTCCATTTGAGGCCCTCTATGGCCGAAAGTGCAGATCCCCTCTATGATGGGCTGAGGTGGGTAATAACCAGTTAGCTAAAGGATGAATTCCTGAAAACACTCTCACAGGTCCGGAGATCATACGGAAACGTCATAGAAGATCGTTCATATTCGTGAATGATTGAAAGCCTCTAGAGACCGTCAGAAAAGCTACGTTGATAAACAAACGAAACCGTTGGAATTCCAGGTGGGCAACTGCGTCCTATTGAATGTCTCACCCTGGAAGGGCTTGATACGCTTCGGAAAGCGTGGAAAGTTAAATCCCAGGTACAGAGGGCCTTTCGAGATTCTCGCAAGAATCGGCCCTGTAGCTTACAAACTTAACTTACCAAGCGAACTCAGTAATACACATTCTACCTTCCACGTCTCGAACTTGAAAAAGTGTCTGTCCGACGAGACTCTTGTAATCCCACTCAACGAGATCGAGATCAATGAGAGCCTCAACTTCGTGGAAGAACCTGTAGAGATCATGCACCGGGAGGTCAAGAAAATGAAGCAAAGTCGTATCTTGATAGTGAAGGTTTGTTGGAACGCCAAGCGAGGACCTGAATTCACTTGGGAGTGAGAGGATCAAATGAAACTGAAATATCCTCTTCTAATTTCGGGATGAAATTCCTTCTAACAGGGGGACGATGTGATAACCCAAAATTTCTATTATGTACAACATTTTAATTCAATAGAAGTTAGAACAGTTTCTGTTAACTTTCAAGATTTTTAGAATAAGTTTGAGTCCTTTTAAGTTAGTACTTCGGGAGATACCAGGAGAGAGGATGCTCTAGGGTTTATTGTGCAACAATAATGTTCCAAAAACTCCAAGAGTTTGGAGTTTACGACCCATATGGTATTTGGATCATAAACCATAGTGACTATATATATGGCACTTAGCCATTTTTCACACTTTTTCACCATTTCAAGCTAGAACTCAAATCCTCTCAAGTAGCATCTGACTTTTCCTCCTTGATCTTCAACTTGTAAGTGTTTCTAGCCCTATTAAGTTGTTATATTACATAATCTAGTGATCTAACACACTTCCATCTGTGAAATCATTCCAAAAGGTTAGATCTTCAAGTTTCACCAAGAACACACACTAGTGTTCTTGGACTTTTAGCACCTTTTCAAGCCTCTATCTTGTAAGTACTTCTATCCTATAGTATCGTAAGGCTTTTCACACTTCCATATATCAATAAATCACCCAAGAAACACCATGATCAAGGTGTTTACGATCCAAGATGTTCTTGGACAGTAAACCCTAATTAGGGTGCCAAAGTGTGCCCTAGTCCCTTCTAAGCCTTGGAAACTTGCATAGATCCCATCCTTCATGAGTTAAGGGCTTGAAACCATCAAAAGACCATAAACCATATGGTTTTATGGTAGTAAACCCAAAGGAAAATGGTCTAAGGACCGTAAACTCC